GCTGCTATAGGCCCCAGTGCTGTCAGTCTGTGTGCTGCCTGCCCATCTGCTGCCGGCCCTCCTGCTGTATTTCCAGCTGCTGTAGACCCAACTGCTATGCGTCCGGCTGCTGCCGCCCTTCCTGCTGCCAGACCACCTGCTGTAGAACAACCTGCTTCCGCCCCATCTGCTGTGGCAGTTCTTGCTGCTGAGTGACCTGCTCTGGATTTGTGCACCTTCTTTCCCCCATCCTTCAGTTCAGGCAGAAAGCGTCTATTCAGAGAACTTGGGGACTTCCTGATGTCATGAAAACAGAGGCATGGACTGATTTGAAAAAGCCCAGTCTCTTTATTAGTATTTATTCTCTTTTATAGAAGCTTTTTATTACTATTGAATCTGAATTTACAGGCAAATTCCACATCACATGTTTAGAATTCTTTATTCTAATTCAATATACATAAAACTTCAAATGTTACCCTTCTAGTTGTTTCTTTCTAATGTTATTCTGTCGAATCAATTTTTATGTGGAATTGTTTGATGTTCCTCAATAAAACTTCATAGTGTTCAAAAGCACCAAAAATGCTTATCTCTTTTCATTTGTTATTAATACAATGGTATGTATTTCTGTCTCTTTTTCTGCACAACACAGGAGTACATGTTGTCAAATACCCTCACAATTAAAACATTCGATTGGCATTCTCCAATGAGATTTTATCCAAGCCAGAATTCAGTCTCATAGTAGAAACAGGAGAAGAATTTAAGAGACATTTTTGAACCTAACACATTAGTATGAAAGCTGTGGAATGTAACTGCCAGCACAAAAAATTGTTTTTAATAAACTACCTCCCATGATGTGATTTAAACTAATTTAAACAGAAGCAGCTCAGTGTAGAGTATATTCTGTGGACTTGAGAATTATGCAGAGTTGAGGCTGAATCCTGACTGTACTGCATATGATCTCAGACATGGTATTTAAACTCTGTCAACCTAGGATTACTTTTCTCTTAAGAAAGGATCATAATAACTCAAAAATACATGAAGGTAATCACAAAATGTCAATGAGATAAAGATGCCTGATTGACAAACACAAGCAGGCTCTCTTTTACTACCAATTAGCCTCTGTTGTATTTTTTTTTTTTTTTTACTTTTTGTAAATAACTATAGATTTTGAAATAACTATAGGTTAACATGAAGTTGAATAAGACAAAGTTCCCTGTACCCTTCACTCAGTTTCCCTCAGTGGTCACTTCTCATAGGACCATAGTACATGTCAAATCCCAAAATCTGACATTGGTTCTCAGTTCTAGGGATCTAGTAACTAGCATGGTGATTATAGTTAATAATACTGTATTGAGTACTTGAAATTTTCTGAAAAAGTAGATCTTAATTGTTCTCATTACACACACAGAAAATAGTAACTATGTTAGGTGATAGGTTATTAACTAACTTGGTTGTGATAATCAGCTCACAATATATGCATATCAAGGCATCATGTTATACACTTGATATATGTTCAATTTTATTTGCCAACTATACCTCAATAAAGCTGGGGAAAATGAAAGTGCTAAAGTACTAGAAGAAATCATGAGAGATTTCTAAACATAATGCAAACTTATATTAAGTAAAACACACACACTCACCTTACAAAGAAAAAAAACTCAATTAATGTAAATAAAAGTGATCTCCACTGAGTCATCAGTAGGCACCCGTCATCAGGGTTCCTCAAGCGTATAATTCTTTTCCCGTAATTCAAGGTCTCGAGGAAATCTTAGAGTTGTTCTCTTATACCATAAAGGGGCTCACCAGGGTTTTAACCCCGTCACAGCTTGGAACCTGCTTCTGTTCACTCTGACTGAGGAAAAAGGCTCAGGACCTCAATACGATGCTGCGTCTGGGTACATCAGAGCCAGTGCAGGCTCAGAACACCAGCCGGTGCTGAAGCAGGGGCCCACTCACGAGCCAGGTTGTTATCCTGTTTGTGTAAGCCTGGAAATCAGGAACAGGGCAGCAGTAGAAACTGGTTAACAATATAACAACATCGTTTTCCATTTATTAGACTTACATGCACCTGAATGCAGGGAGGGAAGCTCAAAGTAATTTCATCCAATTCCCTCCATCTGGCTCTTGCATGTGGCTCAGTCAGCAACACCAGCTCACACTGGAACCCCTCCCCTGATTATCTCTAGAGGCAGCCCATTTCATAAAGCACCTTCCTCATGGTGAGTCAGATTTTGTTTCTCCCTAGAAACATCCTATCTTCCCTATCCTGTATCAGCCCATGACAGCCATTTGAGGAAGTCCATTCTCATACAGAGGCCCTTCAGGCTGCACTGCCTTTGCTTTGCTCCAGTTTTCTCCTTTTTAGGTTAAATTTCCAAAGCATTTCCATTTGTTCCTCACTGATCATAACGTCACCCTCAGAGCAACTTTGCTTTTCATAAACCCCAATTTATCTTTATCCTTCTAGCCTGGATTGAAATGCATTTTCCAGATGTGTTCTGAACTCTCTGGGAGGATTAGAAATGCCACATCTACATTAGTAAATGTCCCACTTTCATGAATGTTTCAAGTTTGCATGCAGGAGTGAACACAGCGTTAGTGGCAGTAAGTGGTTGGCCGTAAGTGTGAACTTGGTTATACTGAGGTTACTAGAGTGTGAAACACTTAAGTGGTCCTCATCATAAACTGCTTCAAGGTCTTCTTATACACATACAGTGGTTGTTTCTAGACAAGAAGTTCTCAACCTGTCTTTCCACCGCATGCCTGGAGTAATAGGGCTCATAGTGGTGATCCAGGTTGAGTACCCCATATCTGAAATGCTTGGCACCAGACGTGTTTCAAATTTCAAGTTTTTTCAGAGTTGGAATATTTGCATTATACTTGTTGAGCATCCTTAATGCAAAACCCTGAAATCCTAAATGTTCTATTGGGCATTTTCTTTGAGCATCATATAGGTACTCAAAAAGTTTCGTGTTTTGGAGCATTTCAGATTTCCGATTTTCACATAAGATGTCCTCAACCTGTAATATTTTATCTAGTGAAAGTGTGCTAAGAGTGGACAAAACATTAGGGTGTGTGCGTAGTTAAATAAATACTCCCAATAAATTAAGATATATTCACTCCTCCCGAATCTCGTTTGCCATGTGGCATTAATAACCACTCTTTTGATCTACAATTGGTTCTGATACTTCATATTGTTAGGTTTGATTCCTTGTGAGAGTATTTCTGTTGTTTTGGAACCATGGTTCTGCCATTTGGTATATTCACTTTTTCTTTCCTTCACAGCCCCCAAATATTTTGATGAGCATGTTTTATGGAAAGAGCCTCAGCAGAGTTGAGGTGTCCATAGTATCCTCGGAGAGGCCAGTCCAGACAGAAATTGCTAACCAAGAGCATGCTAAAGTGGAGGGTGACATGTAATCAGAAGAATGTGGCACAAAGACAGGGAGTTTCTGCCTTCTTCCTTGGGTTTCCTTAACACCCAGGTTTGGGGGAGTGTGTGTGTGTGTGTGTGTATGTGTGTGTGTGTGTGTGTATAATATTCCTAAGGTAAAGGGCCTTAGGAGATAAAGGTAAATACATATTCCTAAATAAATATAATAAAATAAAAGTAAATATATATTCCTAAATATGTTATTATATATATGATATATATTTATATATTACTAAATACAAACATATGAGGAATATGCATTATATATTCATAAATATATAAATATATATATTCCTATATTACCTATATATAAAGTACTATATATACACATGCATATATATTCCTAAGGTCCTTTGGGGGAATATATATATTCCCTCAAGCCTGTGTGTGTGTGTGTGTATATATATACTGATGTATATGTGTATGTGTGTATATATATACACACACACATATATATACACTGATATGTGTATATATATGTATATATATATACACACACACACATCAAAAGAAAATTATGGGTCTAGAATAATTAAAATCACCCAAGGTCAGACATAATGTGTATGTGTGTATGTATATACATATATATATGTATATATATGTTTATATATGTGTGTGTGTGTGTAGGTATGTGTGTATATTTATATATAATATATAAATATATATGTGTGTGTGTATATATATATAGATATAGATATAGCAAGGATACTAGGTCCTTTACCTTAGATTGGCAAGTAAACCTTAGAAATAAAGGAGATGACTCAATGTGACTGTTAAAGCCAGAGAGACAGGAAGGAAAAGTCAGAAGGAAAATCAGCCCCTCAGAGCAGAGAGCAGAGGGACCTGAACCTTTTAGTATAACTGATCTCTGTAGCCAATTTCCGCTAAAGGCCCTGCAACTGAGTTTTGGAGTGTTGTTTCTCAAGACAAAGAAGCATCAATAATTCATGACTTAGATGTCCACCTTAAAACAATTCTGCTTTCCCCATCAGAATGTCTAGAAAATGGGTCATGATTCATTGTATGGAAGGTAGCAAGGAATGCATCCTAATAGTATTTGTATTTTCATGCCACTGGTCACCTGATTCACATTCAAACCTTCATTGCCCACTTGATTCATAACAAACATGCCATGAGATTAAAGCACAGCTTTCTCCTCCTGAATCACCAAAAGAAAATTATGGGCCTAGAAGAATTAAAATCACCCAAGGTCAGACATAATGTATTCAGGAAAATGAGGCTGCAGCGCATGGTACCTACAGGCAGATGTCACATGGCAGCTCAAGGAGGAAGCTACAGCAAGAGGCACAAAAGAGGTTGTTCAAGAAGAGCTGACCTGAGGAATCCTAACACACCAGGGGAAGGAAATAATGCTTTCCTCCATGTTGACAAATTTAAGCAGAAAAACAAACTTGCCTAATTTGATAATTGCCTGCTTATCAGGACCAACAACAACAAGGAAAGAGTGCTGCATCTGATGACATCAGGCCTTAGCAGGGTATAAAAGAGGATCTGGGGCAAGGAGACTTCCAAACCTTCCAAACCCTCCTTTCTGGAAACCCACCCAGAATCTCCACCTTCTGACACCATGGTCAACTCCTGTTGTGGTTCTGTGTGCTCTGACCAGGGCTGTGGCCTAGAGAACTGCTGCCGCCCCAGCTGTTGTGTGTCCAGCTGCTGCAGGCCCCAGTGCTGCCAGTCTGTGTGCTGCCAGCCCACCTGCTGCCGCCCCAGCTGCTGTCAGACCACTTGCTGCAGCCCACCTGCTGCCGCCCCAGCTGCTGTCAGACCACTTGCTGCAGGACCACCTGCTGCCGCCCCAGCTGCTGTGTGTCCAGCTGCTGCAGGCCCCAGTGCTGCCAGTCTGTGTGCTGCCAGCCCACCTGCTGCCGCCCCAGCTGCTGTGTGTCCAGCTGTTGCAGACCCCAGTGCTGCCAGACTACCTGCTGTAGGACCACCTGCTGCCGCCCCAGCTGCTGTGTGTCCAGCTGCTGCAGGCCCCAGTGCTGCCAGACTACCTGCTGTAGGACCACCTGCTGCCGCCCCAGCTGCTGCAGGCCCCAGTGCTGCCAGTCTGTGTGCTGCCAGCCCACCTGCTGCCGCCCCAGCTGCTGTGTGTCCAGCTGCTGCAGGCCCCAGTGCTGCCAGACTACCTGCTGTAGGACCACCTGCTGCCGCCCCAGCTGCTGCAGGCCCCAGTGTTGCCAGTCTGTGTGCTGCCAGCCCACCTGCTGCCGCCCCAGCTGCTGTGTGTCCAGCTGCTACAGGTCCCCGTGTGGCCAGTCTCTGTGCTGCTAGCCCATCTTCTGGCAAACAACCTGCTGCAGGACCACCTGCTGCCACCCTAGCTGTTGCATTTCCAGCTGCTGCCATCCTTCCTGCAGTATCTCCAGCAGCAGTAGCTCCTCCTCCTGTGGTTTCAGCTGCTTCAGGCCCTCCTGCTGCATCTCCAGTTGCTGCCACCCCAGCTGCTGCCAGACCACCTGCTGCAGAACTCAGTGTTTTCAAACCAACTGCTGTGTGTCCAGTTGCTGCCGTCCCAACTGCTGCCAGACCACGTGCTGCTGACCAACCTGCTGTAGTGCATCTTGCTGCTGAGACTCTCATCTGAACTCACCCGATTCTCATCAACTAGCATTCTTGATGTAGCTCATCTATGAGCTGAGTCATGGGAAGCTAGTTGGAAAACTCCAGTTCCAACCAATTCTTAGATTGAATCTGGCCTCCAAATATATGCTCCCCCTACATTTTACCTCTCTACCAAATGAACATGAGTTGTAATTTGCTCCAAAATCTGTCAACTATCTTAATTGAAATATTTGCTCTCTGCTGTAATTTCTCATATGGAGCTATTCCATTTTAAACAAATATTTACCTAAATAAATATTAAATAAATTTTCAGGCATAGAAATATACAGATACTGTGTCTTCTTATTTTTCTTTTTTGGGTGTGGTCATTACCAGTCATTTTTCTGCTGTTCTTCTCTGCAGAGAAGACCACAGCACGTAATTTCAGGGGCACCACCTCTATTTCCTCAGCACACTTTATTCTAATATACAATGGTGGTTTCTTAGAGCAAGCAACTGGAACTCTCTTCTTGAAGAGTTTCTGTAGCCAAAGGGCAAGCTCTGGACTGTAGAGTTAAAGCTTCTCAGAACAGCACTCAACAAATGAGTAGGGGTTGGTGAACACATGCTTTAGTTATTTCTCCTCCAGTTCGGAGCATGTTGTACCAGCCTGTCAGAAGTCCTCAGGGACACCAAATTCCAGCTGCCTACAGGGCTATTCTGATCATTAACTCATCTTGTATTCACTTCCCTCCCTTTCCTGGAGCATTTTTTGTGTTCCATACAGCACTTCTTGGGACCACCTCCCAAATATACTCCTGGGTCTGCTCCAGTGGGTACCCAATCTAAGACACCAGTGTTCCTAACCTCAGTATTAGTGCCCTTCAAAACATTTTTCCTTCTTTATTGATATATAATAGATGCACATATAAAATTTTGATATATCCATATAATGTGTAAAGATCCAATCAGGGTAATTGGATTATCCATCACAATGCATCTTTTCTTTATGCTAGGAACATCTGAATTATTCTTTTGTAGCTACTTTGAAATGTTTAATAGCTTATTGTTAACTATAGTCATCCTACAGTTATATTGAATACTAGGTCATATTTTTCTCTCTAACTTATATTTGTACCCATTAATCAACCTCTTCATTTCTCACAGGCACCCTCCTCTGATTCTGATAACCAGCAAACTATTATTTATCTTCATGAGTTCCATTCCATTAGCAATTTGTCTTTCTGTGCTTGGCCTATTTCACATAACATAATTAAATCATTTTTATACAATATCTGTGGTTACCCCGGTGTCACGGTCAACTCTTGAGTATACTGTCTACTAAATAGGTAAATGTTCTAAATATTTTCCTCTTCCTCCTCCTCCTCCTCCTCCTCCTCCTCCTCCTCCTTCTTCTTCTTCTTCTTCTTCTCAGTTTTGGCACAGTTATCTCTGGACTAGTTGTCTTTAATATCTCTCTCTCTCTCTCTCTCTCTGCTTTATTTATTTATTTTGAGATGGAGTCTTGTCCTGTCATCCAGGCTGGAGGGCAGTGGTGCCATCTCAGCTCATTGCAACCTCCACCTCCCAGGTTCAAGCGATTTTTCCACCTCAGCCCTCCAAGTAGCTGGAATTACAGGTATGTGCCACCACCGCCAGCTAATTTTTGTATTTTTAGTAGAGATAGGGCTTCACCATGTTGGCCAGGCTGGTCTCAAACTCCTGACCTCAAGTGATCCATCTGCTTCAGCCTCAAAAAGTGCTGGGATTACAGGCATGAGCCATCACACCCGGTCTTCAGTCTCTTTTTCTTCCACATTATTATATCTGAAGGATAAGGCAGAATTGCCATGTTAGTAACTTCTATTCTAAAACAAACTGTGTTTAAGAGGTGCATTAAGTTGGATTCACTCAAAATAGAACCGAAAACAAGGATTCTTGGATGAGTGGTTTATAAGAAAATGCTCTCAGGAGAAATCAGTAAGAAACTGGGAGGCAGAATAGAGAAGTTAAAGAACCTAAGGCAGAACATGGTTTTTGTTGAATGATTTTCTCTTCTGGCCCTATAGGAAGCTCTAGAGAGTGAATAGTATCATAGCCCCATCTTTCTGAGAGGCAAGGCAGTTGGAATTTTGCACTCAGACATCAGTTACCACTAGCTCTGGGTCAACCCGTGGGAGAGGAAGAAGATTCGAAGATGGTCCAGTCCTCCAGATGAGGTATCAATTAGGTAAACATAAAAAAAAATATGAACTTCAAAAGCCACAACAAAGCAATTAGTTTAAAGAGAAAAAAGTGCATAAAAGAAGAAAATTACAGCTGTTCTGTGTAATAAAAGAAGTACCATTTAGGTAGACTTGAGGCAATCTGTGTGTGTGGTTCTCTTTCACTGTTTATTATTAATAAATTGGTCTATGTGTATTTCTGTCTCTTTTTCTGCACAACAGGAGACTACATGTTATCAGGGCATCATACAATTGAAAAATTAAATTGATACTCTCCAACAAGATTTTTTATCAAAACTAGGATTCTGTCTCACAGCAGAAATAGGAAAATGTGTAGAAGGAGGCATATTTGAACCTAATACATCTAACATAAGAGCTGTAAATTGCAACAGCCACTGAAATAGAAAGTCCTCAGTAAACTGCATCTCATGAATTGATTTAAACTTATTTAAAGGAAGGGATTTAAACTGATAGGGAAGTTCTATATACAGTATAGCCTGTGCACTTGGGAATTAGAGTTGGGGCTGAATTTTGACTGTACTACATACCAGCTATGTTCTTGTACATGTTAACTATCTCAGCCTAGGGTTTTTTTCTTTAAAGAAAGGATCACAATAGCCACAACACATAGTAAGGATGTCATAAATATTCAATGAGATTGGCAAGTAAAAGCATGCTCCTCTTTTTTTTCCAATAGTCCTCATATATCTTTTTTTTTTTAATTTTCTAGTTAGAAATAACTATAAATTCACAGAAAGTAAAAAAAAAAAAAGTACAGCAAAGTCCTATGCGCCCTTTACCCAGTTTTCCCCAATTGTCACATATTCCATCACTAGAGTACATGGCAAACTCCAGAGACTGACGTTGGTAAAATCCACAGAACTTGTTCTAGTTTTATCAGTTTTACATGCACTTATGTGTATGTGTATGTGTATGTGTATGTCTGTGTATGTTTGTGTGTAGATGTGTGGATAACTTAGAAGGAATGGATGAATTCCTAGAAACATAATACCTACTAAGACTGAATCATGAGGAATAGAAAATCTGAGTAGTCCAATAATGAATAAGAAGATTAAAGTATCAATAACAAACCTCCCAGCAAAGAATAGTCCAATACCAGATAGCCTCACATGTGAATTCTACAAGCATCTGAAGAAGGATTAACGCCAATCCTTATCAAACTCTTCCACAAAAAGTGAAGAGGAGGGAATACTTCCAACATCCGTTTATAATGCCAGCATTACTCTTTATCAAAGCCAGATAAGGACACTACAAGAAAAGAAAATTATAGGCCAATATACTTTATAAACATAAATGCAAAAATACAAAATACTCAACAGGATACCAGGAAACCTTATTCAACAACATATTAAAAAGATCATTCACCGTGATCAAGTGGGATTCACTCAGGTGATGCAAGGTTAGGTCAACACACATAAATCAATAAACATGATACACCACATTAATAGAATGAAGGACAAAAAGCATTTGATCATTTAAGTAGATGCAAAAAAAAAGCATTTTACAAAATTCAAAATCTTTTAATGAAAAAACTCACAGCAAATTAGGTATAGAGGGAATGTACCTCAACATAATAAAGGTCACATATGACAAACCCATAGCTGACATCACGCTGAATAGGGAAAAATTGAAAGCATTCTCCCTAAGAACTGGAACACAACTAGGATGCCCACTTTCACCACTCCTATTCAACATAGTACCAGAAGCCCTACCCAGAGCAATCAAGCAAGAGAAAGAGATAAACAGCATTCAAATTTGAAAAAAGAAAGTCAAATTATTTGTTTGCTGAATGAAATTGGACCCCTTTCTCTCATCGTGTACAAAAATCAACTCAAGATGGATCAAAGACTTACATGTAAAACGTGAAACTATAAAAATACCAGAAGAACACTTAGGAAAAACTCTTCTGAACCTTGATCTAGCCAAAGAATTCATGATTAAGATCTCAAAAGCACAGGCAACAAAAGCAAAAATTGGCAGATGGGACTTACTTAAACTAAAAAGCTTCACACAGTAAAAGATGACATGATCTTATATCTAGAAAACCCTAAAGGCTCCACCAAAAAACTCGTGGATTTGATAAGCGAATTCAGCAAAGTTTCAGAATATGAAATCAACAAGCAAAAATCACTAGCATTTGTATACACCGATAATGATCCAGTTGAATACCAAATCAAGAAGGCAATCTCATTTACAATAGCTATAAAAATACTGACGAATACATTTATCAAATGAGGTGAAAGATACCTGAAAGGAAAACTACAAAACACTAACAAAAGAAATTACAGACAACACAAACAAATTGGAAACATCTCATTCTCATGGATCAGAAGAATTAATGCTGTTAAAATGACCATACTACCCAAAGCAGTCTACAGATTCAATGCAATTCCTACTGAAATACTAATGTCATTTTTAAAGGAATTAGGGGGAAAAATCCTCAAATTGATAGGGAAGTGAAAAACAGAGTCCAAGTAGCTAAAGCAATCCGAAGGGTTGGGGTGGGGGGAAAGCTGGAGGCATTACATTACCTGTTCTCAAATTATATTAAAAGGCTATAGTAACAAAAACAGCATGGTTTGGGGTTAAAAATAGACACATAGATCAGTGGAACAGAATAGAGAACACAGAAATATAGCCGCAAGCTTACAGCAAACTGATTTTTGATGAAGTTGATAAGAACACACACGGAAAAGGATATCCTGTTCAATGAATAAATGATGCTGGGTACATTGGATTGCCTTTGCAGAAGAAT